CACCTGCTGGGCCACCTGGTGGCTTGCTGACCCAGCAGGTGACCCAACGGGTCTGCTGTCTTTAACAAACGGATTGTTTCCAGGTTCTTGTAGGAGCGTGTCCCTGCTGCTGCATCCAGCTGATCGATGAGCTGATCAGTCGATCAGTGGATGTATTGATCATCAGATCTGAGGTTCTGTCATCACCGGATCGTCTGCAGCTTCTTGGACTCGTTGTATTCAGAGTACTTGAGCTGCAGCTGATTTCATTATTGATCAGTGATTGGATAATTGTCAGAGTGTTCAGGTTATTGATTAACAGTTTATTTTATCTGCAGTCCTGTTTGGTGAAGACGAGCTCAATGATCTGATCAGATTGATCGATCAACAAAAAGCTGCTGATCAGTTTGTGTTTCCTCAGTTGGACTTTCGGTTCTGAGTTTCAGAGAAGAAGCGACTCATTGTCACCAGAAGGTTTCAGATGTTTTCGGGAGAAGCCAGTTTGCAGTTTCTCTGGTTCTGGTCGTGAGCTGCAGTAAACTGAGTATCAGAGTTTTGTGGTCGATGAAGTCAAACATCAGGATCACACGTCGACTCTCAGTTTGATGAGAAGACGTCCTGAGGATGTGTCTGACAGCTGATAGGGAGCTGATCAGTCATCAGCCATCAGACTAACCTCCAACTATTTCACAGTCAGATACTCGGTTTCTGTCATGTCTCAGTAAATTCAGCCTCAAAATGAGCTAATTAGAGAATCTGTGACCAAACGAGCAAAACCAGACAGAAGACATGAATCCAGTCTGACTGAAGTTTAACCGTCGATCCGAAGTCAGCTCAAGTTCTGACCGTTTACTGGTCTCATTGCACATTGTCCAGTTTTAATCAGAATGCGTTTAGATCTGCTGTAAGACGGGGCACCGCTCAGAACTTTGTCAGACCCGTGGACAGAAACAGAACAATCACTTCTCATCCCTACATGTCCGTTTTCAGACTCAGAGCTTCATGTTTGTCTTCAGCAGCCGCACAAGTTTCTTCATACAACTTTATCATCTGGTGCTGAACCCAGAAACGTGTCCGGTTGGTTCTGTTCCATCAACAGTATACACCTACGAATGTTCTCCAGACGCACGCTGGTCACGTGACCAGGAGGCGTCTCACTGGTTAAGTTATCAATGGAGTCAATCAGACGTCAGAACAAACAGAGTAATGTTAGAACCCAGCAGGTGTTCGGTTTACTGTCGGATTAAAGCAGTGAATCTTCACCCTGGAGAACCTTCTGTAAACTGCATGTTCCTCCTCAGGTATGGTTCTGGTCCGGACTGAGGCGGGTCAGCTGGTCATGGTTCCTCAGCAGGTTCTGGCGCAGGCTCAGGCCAAGACTCAGCAGAGCCAGACGGTGGCCAGCATCACCCAGAGAGCCGTGACGCCCACACCCGGCGCCACCATCCGGGTCAGCACCGCCACCACGGTACGGTGACACCGAGCCGGGACACAAACTAAACCACTGTCTTAACCGATCGTCTGATCAATCAGTAATCAGTTAATCATCACCACAAATACAGTAAACAGCTGAGTTAACGTGTCCTGGTGCCGCTGCTTGATGCCACCTTCTGCTCCATCAGTTAGTTTATATTTAATCTGTTACATTATTATCAGCATTCATCCATCTAATTAAATAAGTACGTATTTTTATCTAATATGTTTTTAAAAGCTTCCTCTTTTTTTTCTTCAGTTTTGAGTGAAAATTACAAAATATAAAGACGAAAGTAAAAATGGGACTTTTTTAAATTACAAATTTATACTTTTCTTTGTTGTTGTTGTTGTTTTTTTATTTTATTTAATAGCTTCTTATAATTTTGACAGTTTTCTCTAATTTCACCCTCTTCACTCAAATTAGATTTTTGGGGGATTTCTTCGCCGTTTTGTTTTTTGTTATTTTGACTTTTTGTCATGTTTTGGAATTTTTCTTCTTCCTTTAAAATGTTTGACTTTATTCTTTATAATTTTGGTTGTTTGCTTTCAAAGGCCAGCTGCCTGCATGTTAAACAAACTCACCGGTTTCAGGTAAACCTGCTGATGGGTCTGATGACTGTGAGGCATTCAGGGAACATCTGTACACTGTAGCGTCTGTTGCTAAGCAGATGTTCATCCAGTCAGGAGTCTGGCTCATGAGTTCATTCATATTCAGCCTCTGAGTCTGATTGTGCTGCAGATTTGTACATCAGCAGGAGTTTAGCTCAACATGAAGGGAAAGCAGAACTCTGTTCATTTAGATGTGAACGGGCCGTAAAAATGTTAGTCGTGATCGAAATGAATCAATAAATAAATGAATACAAACGCTGACCTGCTGCTTGTTTCATACGTTTTGTTTAAAGCGGTTTTAATTCCTACTGAAGCTTTTAACTGTTGCTGTGCTGAGTGTCTGTTTTCCCTCCCCGTCGTCTGCAGACGCCTGGAACTCCTCAGACCGTCCGCCTGGCCTCCCCCGCTCAGACCAGAATGGTTCAGGCCCCCTCCACCACCACTGTACAGGTGAGTCTACCTGTACAAGTGTGTGTCCACCTGTGTCACAGCAGCACAGGAGTCAGTCTGTAAATGAAAGTTACTCACAAGCTGATATATATGAGAGGGAAAGTCACAGCGAGGAGATGCAACACCACGAACATGAGATAGAGGTCGCTGTGATGTTGAACTGTGTTCAAACTGACAGCCGACCTGCAACATAATAAACGATTCTCTGATGTGTTTCCTGTCAGAAGACCCTGGCGGTGGCGCCCGGTGGTGCCGCCGTGTCGGTAAAGATGGCGCCTCAGAAGGCTCCAACTGTCATCACGGCTGGCGGGACGCCCGTCGCTAAAGCCACCGGCGTCCCGTCCTCCCCCTTGACCAGCACCACCCCCTCCCCCACCGCCTCACCTGCAGCCAGAGTCACCGTGGTGTCGCAGGTGAGTAACACGCCTGTCCCACAACACATATGTCCAACAACACGCCTCTCCGACAACACGTCTGTCTGACAACA